AAACACAAAGCGTTTTATAGAGTAATAATCTTAAAAGCGGAGTTTTTCAATTCCTACTATTAGCTCTCTCTCTCTCTGTATGTATATATATATATATGTGGGGGGGGATTTTCATTTGAAACCATTTTGTAAAAAAGTTGAGTCATATCCTTTTCAGAGGACCATTAATGTCAATTTTGTTTATTACCGCATTCCGAAGCAGCGCCGGCTTGAATAATTTTTCGGCAGAGGCCTACTAACCAACGCCGATTCAACACGTCACGTTTTTCGCGCCCAGCGCGATATCAGTCCAAGCGTCCAACTATGAAGAAAGTAATTAATTTCCCCGTCTCCTAATGGTATAACTCAACTATCAATTAATCTAACTTCTGCATGTCTCTTTCCCTTTGTAAATAGTAAATATTCCCCTTTGTTAATTTTCCCCTTTAACTTGAAATAAAATCTTTTTTACTTAAATGAAGTATCTGCGTTTAAATGATTTTGATTCAATTAATTCATCACTAACCCTTTAATAGTTACCCCTAGACAACCACCTCGCCAATTTAAAATCCCGACTCCTGGAGAGTCTGATTTTTATTCGAAGATTTTATTCGGACTCCCACAAATATACACTGGTGTGCAAAAATTAAGGACGAAGTCGGAAAATTAGCATATCAGCTGAACGAAGAGGCAGAGTGGACAGAAAGACCAATCAGGAGATTAAGTAAGGTGATGTACGGTAGCACATGCGCAGATATGCAGGTAGACGTAATGGGGGAGTGTCTGAGTAGTATAAAGCATGTTGTCGGTGTAAGATCGGTATTTCTGGCAAAGAGATTGCACGCCGTATAGCAGTTAAAATCACACCGAGTTGCTGCCTCAGCGAGAAATGGCGAATAATCAATCTGTTAGACGACACCTGGATGCTTTTACCCGAGGTCGAATCATTAGGAAGTTGGAGGAAGGCCGCAGTGTGACAAGTGTGGCTGCAGAGTTCGGAATTGCTCACAGCATCGTTTCACGACTTTGGAGACAATTTCAAACTACAGGAACAGCTATCCGGGGGTTCAGTAGTGGTCGTCCACGAGGAACCACACCCGCAGATGACCGGTACATTGTCTTACAGGCCAGAAGAAACAGGCGGCAGACAGCGGGAGAAATCGCTAGACACACGACACAGGCGACTGGACGACCGATATCGCGTTTTACCGTGGCCAGAAGACTGCACGATGGTGGTCTGTTTGCACGACGCCCTGTACGGTGTGTACCTTTAACGCCTGCCCATCGGAGAAGGCGTTCTCTGTGGTGCCGGGAACACCGGAATTGGAGAGACAATGAATGGGGACGAGTACTCTTTACAGATGAGAGTAGATTCAGTTTGAGTAGCGATTCTCATCGCATACTCATCTGGAGAGAGCGGGTAAGCCGCTATCATCCCTCGAACATCATTGAAAGGGACAGGTATGGAGGTCGCGGTGTTCTTGTTTGGGGAGGCATCATGCTTGGCAGTCGTACAGACCTTCACATCTTCGACGTAGGTTCAGTCAACGGGACCCGTTATTGTAACGAGATTCTTCTTCCATATGTGAGTCTTTTTAGAGGCGCTATGGGTCTGCAGTTCCTTTTCATGGACGACAATGCACCATGTCATCGCACAGTAGCTGCCGAACCGCTCTTAGAGAGTGAGGATATTCAACGTATGGATTGGCCGGCACGATCTCCGGATCTCAATCCCATCGAGCATGTATGGGATTTTCTAGGCAGACGCTTGGCAGCTCGTACCTTACCACCAGTAACGATTCGGGAGCTTCGATTGGCGCTGCAAGACGAATGGGCAGCAATGCCTCAACAATCATTGACACCCTCATTCTCAGCATGGGCACACGTTGTGAAACCTGCCTAGCAGTCAGGGGAGATCATATCCCCTACTAAAGACCGGATGTTTCTTGCTGGACACCCATCACAGGGATGTTTCGGCCTTCAGTCGCATTGCGCTCCATGCTACTTTTTCAATCAAGTTTCTTTTTATCCCTCTGATTTCTCTTTTAGTAAGTGTTGCTTACATTACACATGTCCTTACGTATTGGGGATCTTAAGGTATTAAATGTGTTGATTTGGAAAGCTTTTGTACAAAGTTATATTGAAAAAACCGTTTCGTCCTTAATTTTTGCACACCAGTATATATATATATATATATATATATATATATATATATATATATATGTATATATATATATATGTATATATATATGTATATATATACACTGCTGGACAATTGCTAAGGACGGATAACACTATCATCCATAGCAACCAGAAAATGAAAGGAAGCAAAATGTGGAAAATTAGAATAAGTGCGGGATATTAGTAAGAAGAAGTATGAGTATGCAAATTTGTTTTCCACGTCTGTTCGTCACGTGATAGCGTTCATAAGAGCTTTAAAGGTTTTGACGCGTGTGGACAGTTGTTGTTTCAAGTCAAAGTTTTACAGGAAAGATTTAATAGACGAACTTCAAATTTTTGGCATGTCTTCCCAACGTCACATAGATGATTTTATGCGTGGCCGAATTATTGGAAATATCGAAGAAGGGCGAAAAATAACAGATGTTGCCAGGGAGTTCGACATCGCTCACAGCGTTGTTTCACGGCTGTGGAAGTCATTTAAAACTACTGGAATGGGTAGTAGACGGCATGGGGGAGGTCGTGTTAGAAGTACGACGCCTGCAGAAGACAGATATATCGTCCTATCAGCAAAAAGGAACAGGCACACCACAGCTCAGCAGGTGGCAAATCAGTTTCTTGCTGCCTCAGGAAAGCAGATCTCCCGAAAAACTGTTGCCAGACGTTTGAGGGGAGGAGGACTATACGCACGCAGACCTGTTGTGTGTGTCCCATTGACCAGACAGCACCGTACTGCCCGTTTGCAATGGTGTCTTGAGCATCACAATTGGACTGAACAGGACTGGGCATGCGTACTATTCTCAGATGAGAGTAGGTTCAGTCTGTCATCGGATTGTAGACACCAACTGATCTGGCGCGAGAGTGGTACTGCTTATCGTCCAGAAAATATCCAGCAAAAAGACCGATATCCGACATGCAGTATCATGGTGTGGGCCGGCATCATGATCAATGACCGCACGCGCCTACATGTGGTTGCGAATGGGACTATGACGGGCCAACGATACATTGATGAAGTTCTACTTCCTCATGTTCGTCTTTTCCGTGGTGCTGTCGGTGATAAATTTGTTTTTATGGACGACAACGCAACATGTTACGAACACTCGCTGTTCAGGATTATCTAGACAGCGAGGGTATTCAACGTCTCGTATGGCCAGCGCGTTCTCCAGATCTAAACCCCATTGAAAATGTGTGGGATGCTTTGGGGAGGCAAGTTGCTGGTCGAAACTATCCTCCGACAAACAAGAACACCCTCATCCATGCACTCACAGAGGAATGGGATAAATTGCCTCAACACCTGCTGGATAATGTTGTGCAAAGTATGGTACGACGTGTGGAATGTTGCATCACACTCCACGGTGGACATATCCCGTACTGATACCTTTCTGTAAGGTGCCTGCTGACTTTTAAATGCATTGTTCCATTTCTCCGTACGCAGATCAAATGAACATTTTTTTTCTTTCAGATGTTTCACAGCTTTTGTACTTTCCAGAACAATAAATATTCTTTATTCTAATGTCTGAACAGTGTGGCAACTATATTTTATCCTACTAGGCCTCATGTCTCGCTTAATGTTATGCTACATAGCAATTTGTGATCCGTCCTTAGCAATTGTCCAGCAGTGTATATTATATATATATATATGTGTGTGTATATATATATGTATGTATATATATATGTATATATATATGTATTTATATGTATATATATGTATATATATATATATATATATATATATATATATATATATATATGGAATAATTCTCTCTAGTATTCTTTTTATTAATTAACTCTTTGTACTAAAATTTAAAATATCTTTAAAACTTTGGTTTAAAAATAACAGCGTAATCTTAATCGTAATCGGCTAGTCGGAAATCCCTGTGTTAATAATTTCATTAACTAAGTTAAATTAAATTAATTATCGGTTTTCGACGCCAACTTAAATTTGTCTGCATTGTTGTAACAATGTAACTGTTAAAACATTGACAATAGTTGGCGTCATAGCCAAACCGGGTGTGCATTGTTACAACGATGCAAACAAATCTTTTTTCAATTCCTATTATTAGTTCACTCTCTCCCTATATATATATATATATCTTGTTCAAATTTTCAATCGTTAATAAAATACTTTCTATTCATCCATTCAGAGTAGGAATTGACTTAAAAAATTATTTTTATATTGCTTGTTTTGTTTTGATTTCTCAATAATAATTGATTTTCCATACGAAGCACAATGTTGAATTAGTTAATTTTAAAATTATTAATGTACACTGGCGCAGCTAGTCTTCAGTGGGCACTGTAGCAAAATTCCTTAGGCTCCCCTTTGGGGGGACACCTTAACACGTTACGATTTTTAGCTTATAAGTGTTTGGGGCCCCTGTATCTAGAGGGCCCCGTATCATTGATACAGCAGTAGCTACGCCCCTGGATTTTTTTTCTGACGCATGTTGATGCCCTAGTTTCATTGATACGGTGGTAGCTACGCCCCTGTTAGTTTACTATATATTTAACAAACTAACAAAAATTATGTCTTAAAAGCCTTTTAAATGACAAGGAAAAATAAAACAGGTTTCCAAAAAAATCACGAAAAATACGGATTGCAAATGATTTTTTCTTCCAATAACTAAACTTGAAATAATTATTAGATTGCATAGATCATTGTTGTTGTCGTGAGTTTTTATCCTGGGATACATGGAAGAACAGAAACATACACACAGAAGAATATAGACATTTATTACAGATGATGATCCCAGCATATAACAAGAAGGGGTACGCTGCTTTCCTTTCGAGACGGGAATCCATTGTAGACGAAAGTCTGACTTCTTTTCCCGAAGAAAACACAACCATGCCTTACTCGGGTTTCGAACCCGAACCCACTCGGTTACAAGCCGAGGATCCACCATACTGGCTGGGCGGCTGCATAGATTATTATTTTTTTTAATACATTGTAAAAAACATATGATACATTTAGTTGTAATCAAAAACTAGATAAGATAATGAATTTAATTCATTCTCAAACTATAATATGTAAACCAGGGGTGGGCAGACTTTTCCAGTATACGGACTACTTTTCATGTTTTTAAGGTGATGCGGTCCATCCAGTGGCGTAGGGGGGATCAATCAATATCCAAATATTGTATTTTTGTTCTTTTCACTTTTTTGTTTTCAACATTGAAACCCCTCTTTTAAAATATGACCCCAATTAATATTTTTACTACAAAAACACAAGTAACACAAAATTGTCATAGTTGAACGCTTGAATAACCATGAGCGACTGCTAGACCGTGGACGTATTCAATACAGCGAGTAGAAAACATACATGAATCGATGACTCTGAAACTGACGTACAATTGTTCGCTGCCGATTCCTACCTCATCATAGGATATGACATCGACTCGAGATTCCAATGTCGTGTGGGGAAACAAGGCGAGTGGGATGATGTCTTAATATCCAATCCTGTTCTACCGCGAGAAATGCTGACCATCCACATTTGTTCTCCTTTTCAGTCGGCGTTGGGGGATTCATTTCTACGGCTGGCATCGCAGTGGTCGTCCTTATCCCCTACATGGACGGTGAACGTGTAAAGCGTCACCGTTCATTTCCAATGAAGGTACATGTGTCGTCTACATGTCGCACTGATTGCGAAAACCTGATTTTCCAGTCTAGCGGGTGACGGCGTTCCATAAATATGTTCCTTTTCGTAAGCACGTCTTAGATCTTGGTGAGGTCCATGGGTAGTCTAGTGGTTAGAGTATCGGACTCCAGACCGGAAGGCCTGGGTTCGATGCCCGATGCCACCAAACATCCTCCGAGTACACACGGAGTACGTGCTCGTTAAATAAGTGGGTCCGAAGTCCTGTGGGCTGAATCACGAGTGCAGGGGACTGGTGAATATTTTCCACCCCTTCAATTCCATGCTCCTAAATTGTGGAGGGGGAAATTGGTGGTGTCGCCATCTATATCGTCCCTTCCGGAATTTCACCTAGCTAATACGTACTGTCACCTGTATGGTGCTCAAGGCCAACGACAGGCGTACATCTAGCCCCTTGCCACGATGAATTTCGTGGGCCTCGATCTTACTACGTCAGACAGGTGGCATTAGAAACAACAACAGATCTTGGCGGTCACCTTATAATGTCTTAGTGGTCCACCGGTCGACTTAATGTCCATCCCTGATGTAGACTATTCAATTTTTTCCTTCTACTGAAATCGTTGTGATGTGAGCAACATGATGCACCAAATTTCATAATGACAATTTAAAAATATTTTAGAATTATTTAATCAATAAAAGTAATTTATATAATTACATGCACATTCTTTTCCTTCTTATTACAGTAAGAAATTAAATTCTGTGTGCGCGAAGCAAACACTACTAGGCAGAGGCGGATTACGCGGCTGGTGACCGCCAGGGGCCTCCAGCGTCAGTAGGGGCCCCAAGCTTGATGGATTCTAGTTATAAATTTAACATGCAACAAAAAGATTTTGGACCGATATTAGACCCGTGATTTCCACGGATTTGAATCATGTAGCAATTCTAGCCATCTTCCTTCAGTATATGTGTATTGTTGCAGTCTGTACAAAATTTTCGCATGCGTTTTATCGAACAAATGCATGCTATTCAAGTCAGACAAGTTCGTTTTTGGTTCACAGCTGTGATTAGTTGTTTCTGCACACATTTTTCACCGATTGGAAAAAAAATCCCAACACCAAGAAAAAAAATGATCGTAAACTAATGAAACTGTGGCAATACACTTGTATAGGTAACATGTTTGTTTGATTAAAGTTTCAAGATCACAGGCTAATGTAAGCGCGAGAAGATCCATTCAAATGTGAAATGATGGTGCATTTAAAACTGGTGTAAATGACAGAATTTTAAATGGCGTATAGTGTGTCATACAGTACCAAATATTCGTTAGTGGGATTGAATTGCATGCCTGTCGCTCTTGATCGGTCGATATAAGGTAACACATTTTGACACTCTATAGAGCATGTTGGATAACAACAGGGTGTTAGGGCGTTCGTTTTTTTTTTTTAAACACCCCTTGAATGGTTTTTATAAATGACTGCAATGGTTTAAATCATCAATCTGACGTACAAATTTGCAGTTAGGGTGTGTGAATTAACTTCGAGAGTGCTCCTGCAGTCAAAGAAAATTGCTCGCGCTGGACCATAACTCTAGGCGTAAGCCCAGTGTGTCTGGGGCGCAGAAAAGTTGTTTGCAGACGGTAACCTGATCTTCAAATCAATACACAGTCCTCACTGGCATAAAGATAGAAACAGCTTTGATAACAGAACCCAACATATCGTCACTCCACTCTCCAAAGATCTCTGGCGTTACATCGCTGAAGTCGCAGATGTCAGTGATTTGGAACTAACGGTATGAACTCTACAAGGCATTTGGCTTTGAGCTATTTCTTAAACGATTGATTTGCTACTGTTCAATGTTTCACTCTGGTGCCTGTAAGAACTGTATTTTCTACTGTAGATGCACTACAATGTTCTGCAAAATGATCTAGTCTACTAAAGCCTCTAGAATATTATGTACATCCAAAATTTCAGAAATAAATTTAGAAAAAGGGAACAAGGAGCAACTGTTTTATCAGGGCTGTCATTTGAAGAGGGGGCCGCGGTAGCCGAGTGGTATAGGTATCGGACCATGGCTTGCCTTGTCACGAGTTCGAGCCAAGTACCACTAAAGACCCACCGTGTAGGGCAGAGATGCACGTTAAATCTGTCGAGAGCTGAAACGTCCTCCCGTTGGTGTGGTGTGGTAGTTAGGAGATGGGGGGGTGCCAGCTCAGGTGTCATCCACGTCACTTGACCATGGTTCAAAATTACGTGGTCCGTCGCCAAAAGCCCTCGTGAAGCTGAACAGTGTGACGTTAATATTCAATCAATCAATCAATCAAGGCATTTGAAGAGGAAACTGGACAATCTCGTAGGCAGCAAAAGAGTGAAATTATTTTCGATGAAAGTGAAGAAGTCGGTTATGACTCTTTGAAAAAAGGAAAAATATCACAGTGAAGTCCTTTTATGTCATATGCGATAGGGTGACAGCAGAGCTATCCCAATGAGCTGAGATTTATGAAACTGTTTATCGAATACTTACCTGTATTTTTTGACGAGAGATTATTACCTGAAACAAGTAGAGAGAGAGAGAGAGTATAAAAAAATTTTTAAGTCAATTCCTACTTGGATCAACAAAGAAAAATTCGATTTAATTACTTTTTATTAAATAGTTACAATTAATATAAATATGTATATACATATGACAGAATCACAGCATTAAGTAGTAATTAATTTTTATTAATTATCATTTAAGTATCGTATTGTCATCCAAAACATTCGTGTACATAAAATTTCAGTTCAACTGTGTGTGTGTGTGAATACTTCATAACGTGAGACAAAAAATTTTTTTAAAGTTTTGATCCAAGTCGCTAAAAATAAAACCACCGTGGCTGTATCTGTAATTCTTTAAATACTTAGTTTCAGTCAATTAATTTTAATTAATGATAATTAAATTATCGTATTTTTACCCAAAACAATACTGTATAGAAAATTTCAGCTTAAATGAGAGCTTCAAAATGAGAGAAAAAAACCTTTTTCAAGTTTCGACACAAGTCGCCAAAAATGATGCCAACGTGGCTGTATTTGTAATTCTTTAAATAATTAGTTTTAATCAATTAATTTTTATTAATTATAATTAAATTATTGTATTGTCATCCAAAATAATCATGTATATAAAATTTCAGCTGAATTGAGCACCTTAAAATGTATTTTATTAACGATTGAAAATTCCACGAAGATAAATATATAGAGTGTGAGCTAGTAGTAGGTGTCGCGAACGGAGCTAACGCGCGCGCGCGAACTTGTAGTTTAACTAGAGTGGCGCTGTAAGCGCATTTCCTTTTTTTGTTTACGTTTGTTAGTAGAAGAAGTAGAGTCTGTAATTCGAACGTGAAATGTATCAGTTGTCTATTTTCCTTATCCATTAAATCTTTTTTGCATCAAAAAGGACTCTCATTCTCTTGGTTAAGAGTCTAATCGAATGTTTTAGGTCTAGCTCTTCCCGGGCGTTAGAAACGGAAGAATAAGGTAAGTGATACCTTTATTCTTATATTAGAATTTGTGAAATTAGAAAATTAATTTTTTCACAGTAGGAATTGAATTAAGAAGAAAGCTACATAAAATCTAAAGGAAACTTACAAAGACGATATTGAATCTTTTAATTTGATCTATATGAATTGAATTAGTTTTTACTATATTTTTAAAGCAAACGAAGATACAACGAAGACCCCACTAGAAATTTATCGAATTGCAAGAGAAATCCTAACGTAGATGTACTTTCCTAATGTAGTGATAATTTTAAAAATATTTTTAACAATATCGATTTTGATTGCTTCAGGTGAGATATCTTTTTAAATTTTAAAGCGTGTAAAAATTATATAAGAAGTACTATATTAAACAACATATATTACATTATATATAGACAAATTAAACAATATGGGCATATTATATAGAGAACAAGATTGGACAAAATAGATACGGCAAACAAAATTGATGAATTTGCCAAGAAGAAATCAAGAAGTAAAGTCGTATAACAAATCTATCTATATCTTTAGTAAACAATCTATATCTATAGCTTTAGTATCTATATCTTTAGTAACAAATCTATATCTTTAGTAAAGTTTTTAATTAGTTTAAATACTGTTAAAAGATTTTTCTTTAGCCGTTGAGTTTTATTAATAACAATACATTTTATTTTGCGAATTTAATTTCGGCGAAACTTTTCCCTATTTTAGTATTTTGACTTTTGAGCCGATGGGCCGCAAGCCTTTTTACCGCCAGGATCCTCCAGTTTGCTTAATCCGCCTCGGCCGCTAGATCAGGGCGGATTGAAGTCAGGACTGTTTCCTA